TGGTGATTAATTTGGCCAACTAAACAAAGCAACTGCTCTGTAGTTATTTGGATCTGATTTTTCACAAGATTTATGTAATGACACCAACACAGTAGATTTCCAGCTATCGGGGAATTCTCCACTCATTAGAATATGATTAAATACGTTTAGTAAAGATTTGTTAATAATAATAATGATAATAATAATAATAATAATAATAATAATAATAATAATAATAATAATAATAATAATAATAATAATAATAATAATAATAATAATAATTATTATTATTATTGCTCAGATTGTAACTACTACTAGACTGAACTATCGTGTTGTGTGTTTTTATCGGAATGAGCAAGTTTATAACCCTAAGGTAGGGACAGATGGAGAACCATACGATCCGGGGTCAACCGCCGAGTGATCAAGTCGGCAACAAAAGAACAAATTATCTGCCAGAACGCCCTCTATCGAGTACTTGTAATTGTTTTATTTTAGATACATCCCATTAGATGTATTAAATACATCCGTTTAAACTGGTAATATGAATTTAATCAACATAATGTATAGTATGTTAGTATATTTCCACGTCCTTGGCCATAGGTCATGTCGTATGCAAATAACCGGCTTTATGACCTTGCAGTGACGTACTGTACGCCATAGAAATAAACATGGTAGTCAGATAACGGCAGTATTATGGTGTGTAGATTTACTGTACGCAGTATCGCCGTGTACTGATTTACTGGGCAGTATGTACGACAAAAAGGCTGACGAGAAGACAGCTCTTCTCGGGAAGAGGTGGAATGACGACAACGATGAAGATGACTATTCGGAATATAAAAAAGTATGTACTGTATGTATGTAAAAGTAAATATGTATTGTGTATCGTACTTAATAATAGTGATATCTTATCGGGTGAACTATTTCTCCAGGTGTTACATTAATAGTTGATGTACAGTCTGACAGTATCAATGTTCTGATTGTCTTCTGTCCATTGTGTGAATTATTTAATACCGGTGTTGCCATTATATGTTATATATATATATATATGACTTGAGTGCACGTAGCCACTCGACTTCCTATGTGCGCCCTCAACGGAGGCTGGACGTTATTGTCCTTTAGAATAGCGTGGTGACGAGTTTTTCATTCAGTATCGCTGCAATCAGAAATCACAGCTTATTTTCTTTTTTATAATTAAAGATTAATTGAGAATAAATATAATAATGGGGTAAAGTGAATGATCTCAAATGACCCGATATATTCGCGTGGTGACGTTCGAAGTCTGTGAGGAATTGTGTCAATTGTCAATTCATAACACAATCACGTCTTTTATCAGGTACGTTGTAATTTCATCTTGGCACGCCATGTGCTGGCGTTGATGTTCTTCGTGGGATTCATGAATTTATACAGCGTTAGAAACAACCTGAGTGTCGCCATCGTTGCCATGGTGAACACCACTGGTCAGCCAGTGCAGCTATATAACGAATCGGAGTGTTACCGGCCTGGTGAGGATGATCCGACCAGTGCAGTTGATCAGGTTAGTCGGTTGTTGATAATAGTTTGTAGTTAATCACGTTAGGTGGTAGTTAATATTAGTTATTAGTTGAACAGATTTCTTAATAGTTTGCTGTTGATCAGTTAGTTGTTAGTTGTGGTGCATCACAAGTTAGTTAATCTTAGTTGTGTCTACGGGTGGTATCTGTAATCAAATACTGTATAATATGTGCTATGTATTTGGTTCCCTCGCTATAGTAGAAATATCAACGAGTACGTTCAATAACATATCAAGTTCTGACCAACTAAATACCATTTTGTATATTCATATCGGTACAGATAGTAAATTTTATGTAATATTTTATGAGAGTTAACTATTTCCGGAACAAACAAGTTGTATGTGAATCATTGTGTCCTGTAACCATGGCAATATGCTGAGCCACAATTCTTCATTTATTTCAGTCTGGCGATTTTTTCTGGGATAGCTACCAGCAGGGAATACTTCTTGGAGCATACTATTATGGCTATGCTATCGCCCAGGTGTTTGGTGCTTGGATGGAGAAACGCATTGGTGGTAGAATTGTAATGGCATGTAGTATGGGGTTAGCTTCCATTGTCACATTACTCACACCACCAGCGGCATATTTAGGGTTTTGGGTTATATTTTTATGCCGATTCCTTATAGGACTTTTTCACGTAAGTTTATCAATTTATTATTATACTCATGTTTCTTTAAAATTATATTATTTTTAATTCGGTTAAAATTTAATTAATATAAATAATCCAAACAATGAAAAATGTCCACTAAGGTAGTCAATCCCTTGACCTTAGATTAAAGTCCCATGCTTATTGATAGGCGGAATGGTCTTAAGAGCTAACCGCCATAA